TTATATTTTGTAACATCCTTGTTTGTATTAAATAGTCTGATTCCATGTGGACATTTTTCTTCGGCCTCCTGCATTGTTACAAATCGCGATTCCAATAAAATTAATTCCTGATCATTGAGCTGTTGACCATTCCCAATTTTTGTCAATATTGAAGAAAACTCTTGGTTTGCCTGCCGCATAACTTGATCTAATTCAAAAAATCTGAATCCACGCCATAAAATAGGTCCAACAATTTTCTGCTTCTGCTGTTTGTAAATTGGGGTAGCTCGAACTGGTGGTAACTGGCGTAGATCTCCAATCAAAATAACGTCTAAACCACCAAAGTTAGTTTTAAAATCTCCAGTAATCTGCTTCAACCTAGAGTCAATCTGAGAAAGTAATTCAGCACCAATCATACTTATTTCATCAATGATTAACACTTTGACGTATTTAAATAGTGCTCTATATTGATGTGCTACTTCAGTGCTTAGTGGAAGTAATCTCGACAAAGATATTTTTAGGGCAGTATGTACGGTAGTTCCGTCAATGGCAACAGCAGCTTTGCCTGTTGAAGCACAGGCGATGTACGAGTTACAGCATCCATCATTCTCATTATATCGGTTATAAATTTCCATGATAAGCTTTATGACGAAAGTCTTACCACATCCAGCTGGACCCGTGAAAAATATTTGAAATGGACTACGGTTTGGATTTAATAGATTTGAAATGACATGTAACAAAAGCTCTTTTTGCTTATCATTTGCCATTCTCATCAATTCATAAAATTCTGTATTTGGCATCAAATTTTCTCGTTTTTTAGCAATAGTTCCAAGCTTATTAAGTACTGCTAGACGAAGATCACTATTCATTTCAGAAAGAGGATTGTTATATAAATTTTGGAATGGATTTGGTTCAGATGCGATGTTAGCAACATTTTGTACTTCAGGTTCATCATTCAAACCATCTTCTCGGCATAAATTTCGAGAAATTTCAATTACTTTCTGCATGTCCAAACTAGATTCAAATTCTTTTCTTTTATTTAAAATTTCATTTTCATTCCTATTATAAGTATCGATAAACTTCATTTCCGCGAGTATTTCTGCATCTTCATTCCGGAAAGGAATATGTAAAGTAACCATTTCTCGTTTATATTCATTAAGATCTTGTCCCATATCAAAATTTCGGTATCGGATAACACGCGGCACTTTTCTTTCGGTGTAAGTACCGTTTGCTTTAATGGTGTAATTAGCAACAAACTGGGCAAGAGTAATATTTTCCAAATCTTCGTGTCGGCGTTCATATTTATCGAACCAATTTTCTTTCCAAATATTAGTGGAATCTTCTCCTATGCCTATCGCGTCTAATTCTTTTTTGTGTTTTTTTATACGTTGCCGATCACATGGCCACATAGTGAGAATAGTAGTGACTACAGTAGAACACTTCGACATCGGTTCTCGTAAGAGATACCAAGCCGCCTCCTGACTTGTAATCTCAACACTATTGAGCATATTTACACCAATTTTCCTAGTAATTTCAACGACATCAAACTCTGGATGTTCATCCATAGTTTCAATAATCAATCGCTGAAGATGACTAATGCCTCTGTTAGTTTTATTGACATACTCTGAGACATAATTAGCACATGAATATTCTTCGGTAATGAATTGAATATCCATATTGGATTTAACAATATTAAATATAAAGGGGTTAAATGGATTATGCCATTTTTCACATGGTTGACGCTTGACAAAAACTCGTGGCCTCTTAATTCCAGCTCGAAGTATATTGTGATAATCTTCATCTGAATTAATATTGTTACTCTCATAAAAAGAATCAATATCATGATAATCATGATTATCTAAATTAATACGGATATCATTGTAACGTTTAGCATAATCCTTGAAACCAGGTTCCTCTTTCTGCATAGGTAATAAAATTGTAGTAGATCGGCAAGGCATAAAAGGTGCTTCGAATCTGCAATGCTGAGGTTGATTTGCCACTATTTTTTTAAAGCACGTGAATGTATGTTTATGTCTTTGTAATTTAATGTTACCCGATGCTTCGCGAGATGAAACAGATATCAAGTTATCAATTAATGCAATAGCATTCAACCTATTTTTTTCAAGTGCATCCATTGGAGCATTAGCTAGCCACAATAGCATATGCGCATGTGGACTACCACGATGCTGAAACTCAATGCGTTTAAAATAATGAACAACATAATATTTCCCAAACGGACTAAATTTTGACGATTGTAAAAGATTCATTAATACGTTAACCAATTTATTAAAATATATAGCACAGGTAACTGCATCCTCATTAATAAGAGTTGTTTTTTCAAGATAATGGAGAAGCTTGGCCATTTCTTCTGAAATAGTTTCACCGTGGTGTTTGAATTTGTAGAGCGTTTGGAGCAGATCGTTCCATCCAATTTCATTAGCACTGATGGAAAGAAATATAGTCGGCTTACCAAACTGTCTGATCATAGCAAAAAGATCTTTTTGCGACCCATCCAATACCATGTTGAATTCGGAACTGCTCTTAGAAAAGCAAGATTGGTTTCAATACAATTATGGATGTACTGATTATCTTCTATTTGTTTCCGAGTAATTTTGGTATCTTTACCAACGTGTTTGAACGCAACTGTGAGAGAATCCCGAACTCGCATCCTCATAATCTTCATCGCCATGTATAATAAATGATACGGCGTAACTGCACGACGATCAGATCGTCTTAGTTCGCTAGAAGCCATCATAAAAGGGGTTACTTTAACACCATCCCTAAAATTACGGAATTGACCCAAGTAAATTGCGGGAAAGGAAAGTTCCTCTGCATGTTCATCAAATAATAAGCTTTGAGGTACATTGTCTTCACCAGGTGCAATACGTAAGTAATGTTCTTCATTCCACAATAATGTCTGCTGCTGGGCCGTAAGACTATCTTCTACAGGAATATGTTCGCTGAAATCATCTTGCGGAATTTCATCGTGAATTTGATTATCATTAAAAAATGACTCATCAACTTTAATATCGTACATGGTATACAATGGTGACGGAATTAAAAAATTGAGCCAACTTTTAATAGTACGCTTATTAACAGTACTTTGTAAGTAGCTCGACCGATGAATTTTTTTTCGTTTGATATGTACATTTATACAATAGTCATCATCAATATTCCTTGGAATAGATTTCACCATATTATTAACTGAAACTGGAACATTAATTATTTGGCCGAAAATACCGTACTGACCATTAACATGCCTCAGTCTTCTGATTTGCATGAAGGGAATACGGGGTGAAATTAGTCTTTCGGAAACAAGATCTAAAGGTGGCAGATGTTGAGGTATATCTGGATACTTAAAACCATTGAATGTGGACATTGAAGGAATGTTCTTCTTGTTTAACGCTTGTATACATGTGTTGCAAAGCTTCGTATTTTTCGCTGGTGTATTAGGTATAATTTGTGTTAAAATTTCTTTATGTTCAGAAGACGGACTTTTCAAGTCATCTTGAAACCACAACCTGTCACATACTGAACATGGATATCCAAAAGGATTGTCTAGAAACTTTTTTTAAATTCCTGATGAGCTCTTTTTAGTCGTGGAAAATTACTATACGGTAAAGAAGTATCTACGTCCATATCAATTTGTTCATCAATAGAAGTATTAATAAACTGTCCCGAGAATTGGAAGGAACGGCTTCTACGTCTTGTGGAAGTAATTGCTGGTCCATAATCGTGTCTTGATTTAATCTATCACGCTCCTGATCATGTACAATGTCTTGAATAGATAAAATATGTACATTCGAGGCACCAGCTAATTGCTGAATAGTTTCTTGGGCATGAAGCAGTCGGTTTTGCCCCAAGTCTGCTAATAAAGTATTTTCTGATGTACGTTGATTAAACGGCACAGGAGAATTAGTCATATGCACCTCAGCTTGTACAACTATAAAGTTGCGATTGTCGTGTGTTGAAGCAGATAAAAATGAATCGTTTAAATTATCGCCATTATGATCAGCAATACCAGTACTGGACAGCGTTGAGACATCTGGTTGATTTGTACTAGCACTGATGGTAGCTAACCGAAATGATGGTGCAAAAGTCCTTATTTGTGAACTTGAAGTTGACGGTGTGGATAAAATCTCAGCCACGGATGATTCTTCAACTTGTGAAAGCATTTTTTTCGCAGTCTATAGGCACGATTACGTTCTGTTCCTGTTTTTCTTATTGGCTTGTTCACCGACAAGCCTTGACGAGCTTTTTCAGCTTCCTTGGCAGCTTTTTTTCGATTGTAATAGTTTTTATTATTTTCCGCATGTGTATTACCCATCTTGAAATCTGAAAATATAGAAATTGAATAGTACCATTAATAGTCATCAAATGTAAGCGAAAAAATAATAATAATTTTGTCATTTATATTACTAAATAATACATACGGATAGTTAACCTCAATTGTATTGAAGCACTTGGAAGGTTGATCAGCACAGTTTTTCACAAATATTTTCTATATTCAATAAATATTCAATTTAATTCACTAAACGTGGAATAAAATGTTCTACCAAGAATTCGCCGCGAATCGTTTCGCGCGCATTCATACGCGCGTTGGCAACAAGGCGTTCCTAGTATCGACTCGCGCGTATTGCGTATGAGTCGAGAGTCTGGTGAAGTGCACGCGATTTACGCGCGTATTCTAAATTCGCGCGATGCTTGTGGACGCGATGTATTGGCTCTCAGTAGTCAGTAATTCGCCAACGAGCGTATGAATTCCCGGCGAATTCGCCCTTTCTGAACAATCTCTAAGAATAAGCAAAATGTCTACTAATAAACCCGGAATAACTTAAACCTAGCATGACGTCGGCGTAACTGTTCATACTAGCATTATTCCAGCCGTCCACCTAGTCTGTCCTAGTATAACTCTCACATAATCTAAAACCAATAGTTCATAGACATAGTTGATACTTTATTATCTGTGTTGATTGTATTGTGTTTTGACGATTTCATTGTTCATTTTTCTAAATAATATAATGGATATCAGAGCAGTAGAAGAAGTTGAACAAATAAATAATTTAATAAGTCAAATGACCAGTGCAAGAAATGTTAAAACATAAGAAATAAGAAAAGAAACCGTTCCGTCGAAATTATAGAGTTTCAAAGGCTGGTGTTTTAATTTTAGACCAATTATTTGGTAATTCTCAAAGACAAGACAAACGTGGGGGTGGTTTATCTTCTGTTCTTCAGATATTGATAGCTTTGAGATATTGGGGCCGCAACCAAGTATGTATAAGAAGTATTTAACACCTGAACATGAAATATTTATTATATCTTTTCATATAATAGTTAGGGTAAACTATATTATTTTATTAACTTTCAGATGCAAGATGATGCTGCAGATATTCATGGTCTGACTCAGCAATCTTTCTCTACAGTATGCCATCGAGTAGCAAGGGCAAGATTAGAGTATATCAAAATGCCCAAGTCTTTAAATGACCAGTTGAAGCATATAGAACTATTTGAAGCTATAGCTGATTTTAAAAATGTGGTAGGTGCAATTGACTGTACTCACATTAGAAGAAGTAAAGTACAAGGACCTAGTGGTTAACATTACATAAATTGTAAAGGATCCAGTTCCTTAAATGTTCAGGTTGTGTGCGATGCAACATTAAATATAATGAATATCGTTGCTCATTGGCGTGGCAGTACCCATGACTCACAGATTTTTATTGAAAGGCCATTAAAACAATGTTTTGAGAAGGAACAATTTCATGGCAGACTACTTGGAGACTGGCAATGCTTGCACTCCTAATTTATTTACACCAATATTAAATCCGACCACTCATAAAGAAGAATCATACAATTATGCCACATCAGAACTCGCAATAGCGTAGAGAGATGTTTTGGTGTTTGGAAAAACAGATTTAGGTGTTTATTGTCAGTATTGCACAATATAGCCATTGAATTAAAAGAGGAACCTATCTCTGATGATGATGAAGAGACCCTGCCCACACTAACAGTACCCTCATCTCAAAATAAACTGCATGGAGCAGCAGTAAGAGCCATTTTTATTGATGAAAACTTAGTTTGATAGTTCTTAATTTAGGTTGTTTTAACAATTAAGTTATTTAAACAAATAAAGCACTATTTATCTTTAAAACATTTTTATTTCATTATACTATTTATTTTTAAGTGACTCTAATGTCTTCATCAGAATTTCGGTTTGTAATTTTAAATTAATCATTACTTGGTTGTGCATCTACGAGGCTTCTCCAAAACTAAAACTACTACTTGCTTCTGCAACAAATAAGAGAATATTAATTTAAGCTCTGTCCATGCAAAACTTAAAATTTTTTATAATTCATATTATAAAATTTTTAACACATTTATATTAATATAATTATATAAATGTGTTAATAATATAATTTGTAGCACATGCTACAGACCTGGATAGCAACTTTCTTTTATTCTATTTAGAGATAGAGATAATTTAAATATAATACCGGTGTCTTCCTTGTAGGTTTCTTTTGAGTTGTTTGGGGATTCTTGTTGTTCAGTTCGACATGATTTTCTTTAACCTTTTTTTAATCCTACAAAATAATGAAATTCTTAAGTTATGTTGTCACTGTTGTGCACACCTTTGTTTGGCATTTTTAGTATTCAAGTTATGTCAAAACTGATTTATTACCTTGTCATTGTTGGCTTTATTTGCTTTTGGGATAGCAATTGTTTCCAAAATGATTTTATTTGTAATATCCTGAAATATATAAATAACATCTATTAATTTAAGTATCATGGTGAGTGGTTCGCACTCAGGTATTAAGGTGTATTATACCCACTGTCCATTATAAGTGGGAATGGGCTCACATCTGGCTGGACAGAGTTTCGGTACTACAAGAGCAACATGGATGTTTTGAGGTATTACAATATCTCTAACTACCCTGTAGGGGAATAAAGTATGTGCCTATGCTTGAGAGGTTGAACCTTGAACATCACCATCATATTTATAATTAACATTCCTACCTCGACACCATCACAATCAAATTCATTGAAATCTACTTCAAACCGTTGCGGTATAATCTCTGCCATATCCATTGTGTCTGGAGAAGGTGATGGTGGCTTTGTTCCACCTCTAGTTTTTGATGTTTCACGGCGATAAGATGACAACTCTTTTTTTTGAAGTTATACTTCTTTAGGCGCGTTATGAAAAATTTATGAGAGTGAAATTTTACGATGCGCGCGCACCTATGACACAAAATTGGGAGTGTGATTATAGCGTGCGCGAGCGAGATAGGAATAAGACAATCTACAAGTAAAAAGAAATAGAATATGCGTGAAGTTCGTATGCCAAGAATTTTGAATGACCATAATGACATTTGTCATTTACCTTTTAAACAAATACCTAAAGGAGTTTTGATTATTTTTTCAAAGAAATTTATTAATTTTATATTGTGCAATACTGCCAAAGCAACAACATACTTCTTAGTGTTTGGTAGAGATGTTCTAAATATATAATAATATATAATTTTAACTAAATATAATTTATGTTACACTTAATGTAAGAGAATAATAATAAATAATTACATATTTAATTTTTCAAATGTAAACTGAACTTAATTGACTATAATGACTCCTTTTCCAGTCTTTGATTATTTAATTGTAATTTATTATTTGCATGCAATCAAAAACTATTTTTAATAATGCCAAAGAAGTATAACTTCTTACGCGCGTACATAAGTACACGCACCCTTTTTTTTATTCAATTTAGTGCACTTCCACTGATTCATCAATTGTTTTTTGTCTCTTGTCCTTATATTTGCTAGATTAAATCTGAAAAATTACATGTTTTGATTAAATAATGTAATCATTTTTTTGAGATACAGGTACTTATTAAAATGTTTACTTCTCTGTAATATCGCTCCAAGCCTTCATTTTCTCCTTATTAGTATTCGTGCTTAAATCTTTGTTCTCAATTATTGATATATAGGGTCGTAGAATATTTCTAAAAAGTTGCTGTAACAAACGCAATAAACAAAAGCAATGAATAATGGTTCATGTTTCAGTTTTAATCAACAATAATACTCGATAATACATACGGATAGTTAACCTCAATTGTATTGAAGCACTCAGGAAGTTCGGCACAGTTTTTTCACAAATATTTTATCATATGAATTAGTATTGATTTAGATATTCAATTTAAATCACTTCTGATTATAATTCAGACGCAAATATAAAATTCGCACTTGTATAATAAAAATAACTAGGTATATAATCTTTAAAACTAATTAATACTCCTATATTTGTTTCAAATGTCATTGTCAGATGTCATGGTCATTCAAAATTCTTGTTAAGCTGCTAAGCTAAGAAATAGAATATGCGTGAAGTTAGCTTCACGCATATTCTATTTCTTTTACTTGTAGATTGCGCAGTGCGCACGCTATAATCACACTCCCAATTTTGTGTCATAGGTGCGCGCGCATCGTAAAATTTCACTCTCATCAATTTTTCATAACGCGCCTAAAGAAAATAACAAAAAAAAATCAAAACAAATAATAGTAATAAATATAGTTTAAAGAAACTATAAAACACGCTTTTAAAGCACATCAAACTAAAAAGTGAAAAATAATTCCTAATTTAGGCTGAAAATGGTAATGAACAAAAAATACTGGTATTGTGAAAAAGAGTGGCCTCAATTTTCAGCCTAAATTAGGAATTATTTTTCACTTTTTAGTTTGATGTGCTTTAAAAGCGTGTTTTAGTTTTTTTTAACTATATTTATTTTCCACTTTTTAGTCCTAGCAGCAATACGTGTTGTCTCAATTTAATCGTATTGCTTTATGGACTTAAAAAAAATTCATTGTTTTTTCGAGATAAACCTATGAAATTATTATATTGTCGCGGATTCTATAAGTGTACAAAGTTTGAAATTTATATGTTAAATGTGTCCGTTTAAAGTGGGTCAAAATCGAGTCCGAAGGAGTCGGTTACATACATACATACATACGAGTGAAGCTAATATAAAGCGTGTAAAAACACGGGTTAGGGTACGTTAGGTTTAGATTTCTTTTATTTAAATAACTGTATCCAGCGCGCAAAATTGGTGGGGGGTGATGAATACACCCCTCCTCTACACTTTTTTATTTAATTAGTCGTCTCTAAAAACTACCATCTTCTCGGATTCGTCTCCACTCCACCAAAAACTCAGTATCAGCGTATTTTTCATTTTATAATTTTAAAAACAAACACTGTTGATTTTAATAAAGCTCCATTTTAGTATCCTTCAATTCAAATTAAACTTCAACAAACGCGGTGCCTATTTAAACAACCAATACTCGCATGATAAGTTTAGCCTGTACGCATTAACCTTAACAGTGATTTTAAGTTTAATTCGAATACAAATTTCCGCCTGCTTCCTTTTTTAGTTTTATGATAATCGGCAAGCAAAGTTTCGAAACGTTTTTTTTTGTTTGTAGGCATTTTATTGTAAAATCGTTTTTGGTATCGAATTGGACTTTTGAGCACGATACCAATAAAAAGTTATCAATATTTCAAGATTTTGTTCATAGATATCTTAAACTCTCATTTCTCCTAATTTTTTATTTATTTTGACTAGATTTTGATTTATTGAAATGGGATGTCAAGAACAAACATAATTTAAATAAAAAACTTATAATACAAATGCCACTAAGTTTCCCTTTTTCTAGCGCTAGAAATTAGTATGATTATGTCAATCCTGTATTATTTAAGCTTAAGCCAGTCATTAATAAAATTGCTTTGCACAGTATCTCAACGCAATCCCACTGTCCTTTTTTTTTACTACACACAAGTTATTAGATCATAATTTTACGTGACTGACGTAGTCTGTACCAAATGAATACTATAGAAAGCTATGCTATTTGCTTACGCTTGTCTAATTCGGTACAGAAAATGGAACTCTACCACGAATTTTGATCTACATTCCGAAGAATTATTAGACTTAGTTTGCAAATTACAATAGAATAACAATAAAACTAAGTAATAAGATTATTTTATAGTTTATTCATCAATAGTAAGAGCACCACTGTTGATGTCATTAATAAGGTCATGTGGTGGTCTACCATCTATTGTGCAGCCAACAGATTGAGATGTACCAAGGATTTCTTTGACTGTTCCGGACAGATAACGTGCCATTGACCTGGCTCTCATGACTTTAGCAATACCAATGACATCTTCCAATGTGATGTTTCCACTGTGCTTAACTGAAACAAGATAAATCATTTTTACAAATACAGCTCCTTATTCGCGCTTCCGTCATTCGCGGACATGCAACAAAATACTTCAAACCATTGCCTAAGCCTGAGGATAATGATTACATAATCAAAATGTTCAATAACATCAATAAAATGGATCTTCTTATATATATGTTTTTTTATTTTGGCACCTAGGAACGTATCCCCTATAAACCCATATAAATTACCCTTCTGTATTCGCGGCATATTTATGGAACATATACCCCACGAAAAAAGAGATTTTACTGTATAGACTTTAAATATGAATGAATTTAAACAATTATACTATCAAATTATAAAAAGTTTTCATTCAACATTTCCCAAGATAATAAAAAAAATACATACTGTTCTTTTGCTTCTTGCGGTCACGTGGGGGTTCTTTTAAAGCTCTAATGATCAGGGCAGCAGCAGAAGGCACAACAGAGATCTGTGCTTGTCTGTTTTGTACTACCAACTGCACAGTAATCTTTAGTCCTTTCCAGTCACTAGTTGCCTTTGCTATGTCATCCCCCACTTTTTTTGGGGACTATAACACAAACAAAAGATTAAGAAAATTCAAAGAGCTAATTCAGTGGAAACTCAATCAGCCAATTGCAATCTAGCCCTTAATAGAAATTATAGTAATTAAGTAAACTGTTATCTCAACAATTTCCTATTTAAAATTGATTTTGGATAAAATATATGATTGTAAGAAAGCTTAACCACAACTAAACTAGTTAATTGAATATCTACTGTAACAGCCTACTCATACAGTCAAACCACACTAATAGCACGGTAATCGCGGCAGTCATAAAGCCTGGTCCGCGACTCCTTATTGGGCATTCGGAGTAGCCGCGACAGGGAAACCGGTATCCTGAGTCGCGGGTTCCTTCCATCCGCCACCCGGAAGGACGCGCCTGGTAGGGGGGCACCCCCCAGGATCATACATCACACAACGAGCCAATTATAATCATAAGTTATTGCTTATTATTAAATCTATTAACAATGATTATGAACTTAAAACGCCCAATTTCGTTTATATACTCATAATGATTACAATTGTATCTATATCGCATACCATAGAGGTATACAGTATTTGCCAAGTATGACTGCCACGCGAAATTTTGAGGTTATGTTTATGATTTGACATAAGAAAAATAGTGACGAACTCCTACTTACGAGACCAAGAGGACCGATCTTAGGAGCTAACGATGATGTAGCTCCAACTTCTCCTCCAATACATCTTAAGTTCACTGAAATAACACCACAAAACTGAGTACTCGAAGACACTAGGAATCATCGTCTATTACCACCCACATCGATTACTTACCGATTTTAACTTCGTTAGGGTCGAATTTGGGCGGCATTTTAAACTATTATTTTGTATTATTTACAAAAAATAATTGGAATCGGTAGTGATAACTACGGATTAAATAGGCGAACCGTCGCAGAGACGTTCCGTAAACGGTGACAGCTCGCCGAAAAAGAATGATTATAATTGAAGTTTTTCAATGACTAGTCTAATGTCTTTGTCATAAACGTTTGTTTTGTTAGTTGTCATATGTCCTTTGAGATATCTTAGATACAACATATAGTATACTCTATGGCACACCTTAATTCTAGGGCCTTAAGTAAACGATCAAATTGTTTGTCAAATTATTTGATAGTGTACTGCTGTGTTTGAGGCGTTTGTCAAACAATCTACGTGTTTGTCGTGTTTGATGAAAATCTGGATTGATGTCGAGTTTGAAACAAGATCTCACTCGTTGTATTGACATCATGGAGGACGCTACGCTCCTGGTGACAATATGAGTGTCAATATTACTAACAAAGAATTTATGTTGCATTTCATATCTGTTTATCCTGATTTTTTTTTTTCTTTTTAGTAAACCTATGTTATTTTGTATATCTTTTAGCAAGAAATAAAAGGCTTTTTATTTTATTTTATTTATTAAATAAAACCTTACCTGAATATTGTTGAATAGTGTTTCATTTATTGCTTCACAAGTTTCAATGGTAATGTTGCTCAATGTTCGAGGTGCAACGCAGGCTTGAAATTTTAAGTCTTCGAAGTCATCGCCGCTAGCCAGGTACCTCAAAGTTATTGATAACCTTTGAGAAGCTGGTTTAGATTTCCGCATAACTGTGTCCTTTTTTTCAATACGAGGATGGAGTATAGTCAGTAAATCTTCAAAAGTTTTATGGGCCATGCGCAAGAAGTTTGCGTAGTCTTCAGGTTCAGTGCGCAATATTTCCCGTCGCGAATTCTCGTGGGTATATTTATCTCTTAATTTCAACCATTCTCGACTCCATCGTCTTCTTTTTTTGTCTTAATACACAGTGCTAGAGTCAATGCCAAAAATGCGTCATCTGAATTACTCATTGTAATACATAATTGTAAGTGCTCGGCACGGCAACGTCACGTCACGAAAGGAGAAACCCGAATCTACTAGAAAGTTAAAAAATTTGTTTGATATTTGGTTTGATCGTTTAAGCTATTGTTTGATGAAAACGTGAAGTTTGACAAACAATTTGATCGTTTACAGGGCACTTTAGTCAAGTCTGAAAACTTTTCGACACGAACTGTCATTTCCATACAAATTTAGTTTTTGACTTTCTACATATACTACTGTTAAGGCCCCTGAACTTCTATTACCTATTGGCCCACCACACTATCGATGAGGCGACATTAGGGTACGCGATTGCGAGTATGGATGGTGCGCTCGTGACACCTCGTGGCGCTTCGCCTTGTAGCGAATCGTAGATACACACTAAAAATGTACATATAGTAATGTGTAGTATTTTCTATAAGATTGTAATGTATGTGGCAACAAAAAGATAGGACACTAAGAAAATAAGGAAACAGACGTCACTCCGAACAGACTTTTAAGACGAGTGAATATATGTTTTTTCCTTGAGCGTTTCTATGTGAATATAAATTAATTACTCTTGTTTGTGAAGAATAAACCAATTAACAAAGATAAAAATGGGTTGTGATTTATAACAAGATAGAACTTTCCATAGCCTCGTCTTTTTATTTATTTACTTTTTTTTTATTTAAATATGCCTCCTTCGAGCCTTTTTTGTCGGAAAAGGGTAATAATTGATGCTTTTACGCACCAACGGGTTGGGATGATGTTTAGCCTTGTCGAAGTGGCGTGTGGACGCCAAATTCATCTATTGGACTATGATATGGTAGGGAGTCGCCTCGAGTCGCCACCTCTCTGCTTTTTGTATGTTTTTGGTACGCAAGTCAAAGGACGCGAGGGGCAATGCGAGAATGTTATCAAATTGAACTATTAATTTGGAATTGCGGAATCAGATAAGCAAAAACTCGCAAACTAATTTAGAATGTTGAGACCTTTAGAAACCGTTTTCTTTCTTTATTATATTTATACCGACATGGTATGATTTTTAAAATTTATATTTGTGATATAAACGCAAGGCATTAATATTGGTAGGCACATAAAGTAACTTACGCCGTCAATCTAATCACGTCCATCTTGTCAAAAATGTAGCGAGGAAATAAATGAAACGAGAGTGTGGATGGCTTCCACACTTCGTTGCATTACATAACTAACAATATAAAAATTTAACAATTAAATGAAGAGGAGGAAAATTTAAATGAAAAACTTCTGGCGTCTTATATTTATCTGTGGTCTAAGTAACTAAAACGGCAACTCTAAGCTGTACATTGTCAAACCACAAATAAATGGTAACCAGTGTTGTCAACACCGTTCCCTCCAAGCAGAAATGTCAAAATGGCGTCAACGCAGGACGCTTGGTATATTTCTTTACTTGGTTTAGCAGAACATTTTCGTACATCTAATCCCCCTGACATAAAAAGTTGTATTCAATGTTTACAAGCTGTTTTTAATTTCAAACCACCTCAAAGAGTGGAAGCCAGAACCCATTTACAACTTGGGAATATCCTTTTGACACACACTAAAAACATCGACTTGGCGAGAACTCATTTAGAGCAAAGTGTAAGTTTTTCCGTATTTATTTTCTAGGTATCAAGACGTTTTGTAAGTGTAGTGGTAACGACTAAATATATATAGTTCGAATTTTAGTTGAGGTATTTGTAGAAGGTATCTTAAATGCAAAATATAAACAATGTTTTCAATGTGGGTCACTAAAAATATTAAAATTTCCTTTCAGTGGTGTTTATCTCAAAGTATCAATGGATTTGACGATGTTAAGTTTGAAGCAGCGAGTGTTCTTGCTGATTTGTTTGAACAACAGGGTCAGCCAACTCATTCAAAGCCTATATTACGAAAGGCGATTGAATTATCACAACACAGTGTTTACTGGCACTGCAGGCTCATATTCCAACTAGCAGTGAGTATTAATTTATTATATATTACTGGAAGTTTCTCAGCTTGTTTAATTAAATTTTATTTAAATACTGTAATGTATGATAACAGGTGTTCACAGGTGTAACACTACGTTTTTGATAGTTTTGTTCATTAATAATTTCATATGACAAACACACCATATTCAGTATCTATTAACTAAGTTCGGTTTACAGGGACTTAATACCAAATATCTAGTATAAATATCATGATTATATATTGAATTCCAGCAAATTCATGCAACAGAAAAAGAATATGAAGTAGCAAGTAGTCTACTAGGAGTAGGTGTGGATTATGCCCAAATATCAAATTCTGCTTATACAAGGGTGCTTTTTCTCTTAAGTAGGGTTATGGTAAGTATATTTTTTGTAAGTTTTCTAGTTAATAATATTATATATCAATGGATATACTCTTACTTTGTATCATTGTTGTCTGTAAAATACCTAAACTATACTACATAGACATATAAAAAGCATATGATATGTAATTAAAGAAAATTAGTGGCCTTAAAACTTTTTTACAGACAACAAATCAGTTTCATGATAAAAAAATTGTACTAGGCAAGGTGTTCAGCCTTGAGATTAATGCACCTAGACACTAGACCAACAGTGCAGTATGCACTGATTCATATTTTAAATATTTGTTTAAAAATTACATTTCTAATAAGATACTAATTTGTAGATTAGGGTATATTGAAGGAATGAAATTGATGTTGCTGTTTTATAATAATTATAAAACATTTATAAAATATTTTATCACTAAACAGCTTTTATTGACATATATAGATTCACTAATCATCATCAAACATTTTAACAAGATTGTTTTGATAATCTACACTTGCTGTATAATACAAGCTTGTAATTTTATTGCATTGTAGTCATCAACTTAGCTTGAACACTAATTATATGAAGTAACTGTGTAACTGTGACTAATATAACAATTGTGAAATGTTATTATTTTTAGTATATTTTTAAAATATGTATTTTACTCTTGTTAAATATAATCTCAAGACTGCAATTTGGTTGCAGTTACTGTTAATAGATAAGAAGATTCAAGAAGTTTTACCATTATTAAATCAAGCCGGACATCTTGTCGAGTCCTGGGTCGGAAGTCCACACCAAAAGGAATACCTTAAAGTATTCTTTCTTGTTTTACAAGTAAGTATTAACTTTTTTGTAATGTAATGTGAAAAATAATTTATTCAAAGCTTCATTATTTGCTTGACATATTATGAAATTTATTTGTTTAATTATTTATTTGTCTCTACAAGCCTTTTTAAACATAATTTTTAGTGTAAAAAAAGATCTTTTTATATTAACTTAATGTGATATTAAATTAATATAATTATTGTATTCTTTTTTTAGGTGTGTCACTATTTAATGGCTGGACAAGTCAAGAGTGTAAAACCCTGTCTAAAGCAATTACAGCAAAGCATTCAGACAATTATGGCACCAACGTGGCCTGATGATGACAGTGAGTTTATAGAATTATAATACATCATAAGACAATAAGATTATTAGTAGACTTAAAAAAAATACTTAAACATTTAATATGAATTCCCAAGTTGAGTCCTGAAAAATATATATAATATTTAAATATAAAATATATTGGGTTTTATTTACTGGGGATTTAATTAGTCTTGAGTCTGAATATCACCCTCATTATTTATAGTCATAATCAGAGTTGTCTTGTACCTAATCATTTTACAAACACCATAAGATTTGACTTAAAAGATAGCCGGTGTTGACTTCGAATCATTTAGTAAGCCTTTACATTGATATGACATCTCAATAAATTAGTACCTTCAGAATACAATTTCTTTTAAATGAAAGTTTTTTTTTATTATTTATTTATTAGTAATATTACTGCTAACATACATATTATAAAACAAAACACTTAGACAATGTAGAAAGCCAACACAGATTACATAGATAAGCAATATATTATATATGAAACAGAAAACATAAGTAAGTACAATACATTTAACGAAAATCAAAATTTAACTAGAGTTTTACTGCTTAAACAAAATCAAAGTCTTCCCGCCTATTCAAATATCATTGGTGAGGTGGAAAATATCAATATCCTCATAATTAGTGTTATAGTTAGATAAAACCCGAAGCATTGGCGAAGTTTTTTTTTATTTTTATTTATTGAGAAAGATTTACAGCTTATTACTAACTTACTTACTAAATACAATATTCTTTTACGCCATTAAAAAAATCTTTACAAATAGTTAAGAACTAATAATATTAACTGTATTGGTAACAATAAAATGATTTTATTCAACTAAATAAATATATATCAAAGAAAGTAATAAACTAAGTAAAAATTGGCTAAGTAACTCTAAACAGTTTAGTATAACTTATATGTACACTTATAAAAACTTATGGTACATCATTCATTCCACTTATTATTACCACCACAATTATGCAGGTAGTTCGAGTTCGTACCAGGCACATGGAACAATTGTGTGTATCTTGTCGCATACGGTGGAGGGATTCTAAGAGAAACTAACGACAGCAAATTGGGGCTATCTATCCGCCCATTATGAATTATTATTATTATTATTATTATAGCCTCTATTCAGACATGCCAGTATTTCCTTTATTTTTCGTATATTGTACTTTTCTTCCACTTTTGGGTGTCCGTTTGCCAGATGGCAAAGGCCTCCTCCAACCTTCTCCATTCTGGCCTTTCTATGGCCACTCTACCCCATGTTGTTCCCGCGACTTGTATAATGTCGTCGTCCCACCTTTTTTGTGGTCTACCTCTCTTTCTCTTTCCATCTCTTGGGTACCATTGTGTGATTATTTTACTCCATTTGGCCTTTCCCCTGATCATGTGGCCTGCCCATTTCCACTTTTGTCTTCTTATTTTCAAAGTTATGTCCTGTACCTTAGTCTTTCCTCTGATGTTGCTACTCCTTACTTTGTCTTTTCTTTTGATCCCAGTCATGCTCCTTTCCATGGCATGTTGACATACGGAGAGTTTATTTGTTACGTTTTTTGTTAAAGCCCATGTTTCGCTCCCGTAAGCCAGCACTGGCAGGATGCATGTGTTAAATAATTTGCTTTTCGTTGAATTGTGTAGGGTCTTGTCTTTCATCACTTCTTTTAGGCTCCAATATTTTTTCCAGCCGTTTGCAACTCTTCTTTCGACTTCTTTGTTTCCGTTGTCGTCTGGAGACATCAGTTGACCGAGGTATAAATATTCTTCCACGTAGGGGATTTGGTTCTGTTCCACTATTACAGGGTCCCATTATGAATAGCGTGCCAAAATAATAAATGAATCTGAATTAAAATATTTGCAAGAATCTGTATAACTATGTATAACTCAATGTTTCGAACATTGATACTGTTTATAACTCAGGAATTTCACAAATTTTAACCGAAGTACCCGGTCTTCCAGCGGTATGCGGCGGCAGTCCCGGAGGCGAGTCCTTCGTGTGGCTGTCTCGGCAGCAGCTGTACGTGCTGGTCTACTTGGTGACGGTGATGCATTCGGCGCAGGCCGGCTACATGGACAAGGCGCACAAGTACACGGAGAAGGCCTTGGCTCAGATCGACAAGCTCAATTGTGAGTTTTGTAATAAATTTCATGTGGAATTGATCAGCTCTTTTGAAGTCGGTTATAAGTGGTGTGCACTCTGCCTCTTGGCATGTGCTAGTCTATTTTGGCATTTAGAGAAAAACAAATAAAAATCAGTGGCTTTTTAAGTCTGAGCCTCTGATTTCTGTATGTTTCATGATCATTTGTTAATAAACAAGTAGGAGAACAGCCTTCTGTGCCGGACCAACGCCTTCGACTTTTTGGGTCTAAGGCAAGCTAGTTTCCTCAAGATGTTTTCCTTCACCGTTCGAGCGAATGTTAAATGTTCACATAGACAGAAAGTCCACAGCCGGGGATCGAACATACGACCTCAGGGATGAGAGTCGCATGCTGAACACACTAGGCCAACACTGAGAAAAGCACTAAAAGAAAAAAGATCAATATGAAAAATTGGAATTTAATTGAAAAGACGAATTAATACTATTGTATTTTTTTGTTTTCTACAAAAGTTTCATTTGAAACAGACCAAAGTCAATATTATAAACGGAGCTATTGCAGGCAACGAAGAGCCAGGGTTGGTCAACGCGGGTCGTGGCGCCGGCCGGCGAGGGGGCGCAGCCCTGGCCTGGCGTCTACGAATGGCTCTGGTGGAGCACGCGGCCTTGTGCCGCCTCGTGGCCGGAGGCAAAGCCAATGCGTTGCAGGAGATCGCGCGGGCTGCCCATCTGCTCACGCACCCTCCGGATGGTGAGAATTTTATGATTTCATTAAATATCATAAATTTAAATTAACACGATTAGCTTTAGTCCGTGGCCATACTTGCCATAATATGTCATGCAATAAAACGCATGTTTCTTACAGACTAATTTCTCAGTCGAATTGCATTGTTTTTACTAAAATATTTTTTGTCTCCATCTGTTCTACTGTACATCTAGTGTCTGTTTACACTTAAAGAGATCAATTCTTTAGAAAGGAGTGTTTGAGTTATATTTATGTCGCAGCCAACTAGCTTAATAAGCCGTTAAATTAGAAGCCTAGCCTATTAACAATAATTTTATGCATTTAGCTGTGACTGACTCAAGCAATTTCATTTTTAAAAAAATGTATGTCAAATGTTTCATCTTTTTTATTTCTCTTCTTCTTTCTTCATGGTCAATTTATCGTACGAATGGCCAGACAGTTTATTAAATGTTGTAACAAACGCCTACGGCTGAATATCTTTCAGGCCGCTACTTTATTAATCCAGTTGGCTGCGAATATATAATTCTACTTT